TTTTGCACGAGATAACCATCTCACCCACCCCGGAGCCCCTCCCCTTCTTGAAAATAGGGTTTTATCGGCTCAGAAGAAGAGTATCCATAATATGCAATCATGTAACATGTGCCAAGAGGTAATATGTTTTGAATCACGAAACATTTCAGTACAACCTCATCATCCCTTCCCGGACTCAGGCCCACTACTACTATTTCGCCGGGAGGGTGCAGACATGAAACGGCGCCGCGCCGCCGCGTGGCCCCTCCCAACTAACTTAGCACCGGTTCACCCACCCCGGAGCTCCTTCCCTAACTTTTAGAAAGAGAGGAGTTCCGGGATGGGTGAGATGATTAGATGGGGTAAGAAATGAAGAGACGCAGAGCACAAGCGCCTGGCACCCCCCAACTACATTTTCACCAAAACGGATGCGATTAATGCAGTTTGCGTTCAGAAGAATTTAAACAAAATCAGACAAACCCTACTTGCGGCGGTTGCATAGCGGCCATCGCACTGGAGCACGTTATTTTGGGGTGTCTATGCACTGCGGGAAGGCCTTGATGACAGAAGATTTGCTCTTTCGTAACTCTGCTTATTGACGGTTGCGCAGGGCGTTCGAGCACGTTATTTTAAGGTGATTACTGATTGTAAGAAGTAACTTTATGCGATCAATGAGTTGTTAAACTATAATTTTGCAGCGTACCCTTCCCTAGTGAATGACTGAACACTGTTTGGTTATGTTTCTATTTCTGTTGCATGCTCCTTGGTTTGTGTTCCTTCTGAGACAACTGCTGAGTGATTACCTTCACTGATAGAACTCTAGCTTGGGATATGCCAACTTTGTACATTTGAGGACACTTCGCACCTCGGAGCGAGGCGATCTCAATTAAGTGTGAGGAACAAATTTTCATTGTGCTGTCTGCATATCTTTATCAAGCGAGTAAAAGATAAAAAAACTGAAGAGAATTGCAACGGTGAGAAGGTGAAGCGACTTGAGAAACATTATGAACTGCAAAAATTTTATTAATGCTGGAATAAGAGGTGCTGGTTTTAATGTTTTAATAATAGGAATTCTGTTTTTGTGCACAGGTGAAATGTGAAATGCGAAACGAAGTGGAGAATTCTACAGAGCTATGAACTGCGACTTTTCTCTTTTTCTCATTTGGCTTTTTTTNTTTTTTTCAACACTAGCCAGTTATAATAGGAAGTTTTCTGCTGAGAAACCTAATTTTGTTATTTAAGTTTTGGTTTTTCACTGCTGTTATTCACTTCATTCAATGACTTTGACTTGCTGCATATCGATATGCCAGCAGAGCAGTGATCACGGAGTTTCCACAAGTAATTAAGATCGCCTCGCGCCCCCTGCCTTGCTTTTGTTTCGTTCTCCATCTAGTCGGCTTTTCTTTTTTCTGCACAGACGCTGTCGATTATACACAACATGTGGATGTTCTTCGAAACTCTCTTTTGCTTGGACTTCGTCATCCATGGCCTCTTTCGATCGGATAGTTATATCAACCGAAGTTGGCATACCCCTAAACAAGGGTTTAACACTCTATCAGTGAAGGTAATAACACAGCAGATGTCTCAGAAGAAACACAAACCAGGAAGCATGCAACAGAAATAGAAACGCACAACCAAATAGTGTTCGGTCATTCACTTGGGAAGGGTAGCTAGCCATCAGTGGTCTTGGAAGAAACATGAGCGAGGAAACATGCAGGAAAAAAGACATATGTTTCCGAACTATAGTTTAACAACCCATTGATCGTAGAATATTACTTCTTACAATCAGTAATCACCTTAAAATAATGTGCTCGAATGCCCTACGCAACTCCAATAAGCAGAGTTGGTAAGAGCAACTCTCCTGTCATCACTGCCTTGCAGTGCCTAGACACCCCAGAATAACGTGCTCCAGTGCGAAGGCCGCGACGCAACCACCGCAAGTAGGGTTTGTCTGATTTCGGCCCGTATGCATAACGCCCAGGGTGGGAAAGGGGAGAGTCTCCCCAAGGAAATGTTTGCGAAAGGCGCGAACGTTTAAATGGTAGGTTTTGGGTCAAGATAGTGACAATGGAGCAAAGCTTTTTCCTATAAACAGGTGAGGATTCGACAGCCTCTGATAATCATGTGATGTTTGCCTCTGCGACATTACCTTAGTTAGAGCTCAGAGAAGCGCGACCCCATTGACTCCCACCCTGGGAGGGGAGGCCTCCCTACCCAGGGCGGGGGATGAATCTACCCCTAAAATTGCGCTGGCGCGCCGATAGTCTTGTAGACCGCTATTCCGCTATTTACTACATTACTGGCCTGAGCGCTTATTCCTCTGATTTCTGCTGCCGAAATCGTCAATTAATGCTCCGATTTGATTCTACCGCTGCAACCAAGTATCATTTATTTATATTGCTGCACTCGTTGCTATGAAGCAATTAAGGCTTTAATTAAGCAGATTTTGCTTTTTATATTTACAGCAGTTATCGTGATCATTTTGCATCACGATCCTGATGTGATGTAAGAAGGAAACCTGAATTTTTTCTGTCAGCAACTATCAAATAATTTTCCGACCCATTTATGCATTTTGGCTACTCCTGACCGTCAATTGCTGCATTGTAATCGTATACCTTCTAGTCGCTTCGCTTTTCCTTTTTCTAACGAAGTCCGCTCCAGAAGGGGTTGTAAACTCTTGCATGGGAGAATTACTTCTTGAGTGGGTGCGAAAACATGATGCCCATTTTGCTATCCACGTCTTTCTTAAGAAAGTGAAAGGTGAATAATTGAGGTATGATGACAGCAACTGTAAAAGAGTCCAGCGTTTAGAGAAGAAGCATGTTGTTGAACAATTTGTATGTGGTTTCCATTGGCTGAAATATACCTGCGAAGAAAAGAGATGCTTCTATGCGGCTGATTTGAGGAGAAGAATATACACCAAAAGTAGATTAGTGCGAGTGACGAGAACTAAAAATAAGGAGATGTGAAGCATGAGGGAGCATATTCATTGGGGTAGGTTGTGTATGTGCAGAATACTCGAGATGTAAGGCTCCCGAGCCGAGGATGGCGCAAAAGAGTAAAAGCAGATTAAGTACTGCAGAATGGATCGGTGGTCGTATAGTTCTGGTGGCCTCTCCTCATGGTACTAAATTTATCCGACATAAGTCTCTGTAATAAGCGAAATAGTCCAAATCCTCCGCCAAGTGATACTTGATGACTTTTAACAACTAGTAACCAAATATGAACTTTTTATCTGATATTTCCTCTACACTAAACACATCAATTTCTACTGTCTCCTCCATTTGTTTACTTTTCAAACACTTAATGATGGTATGGGGGCAGTACGATATCATTAATTTTCACATTTAATTGGAGTTGCTCTATAATTCGGTGCGCGAGGTACTGGATGCTTGGTTAAAGATTTTCGCAACCCTCTAAATGCATTTTGGAGAACATTCTAATCGTTTGCTACATCCTTGAGCGTTCTCAAGGTATAGCCCCCCCCCCACCTCCAATTCGTTACAGTGCTTCCCTGGGCAAGTATCCGGACTCTCTCCGAATTCCGGTTCTTCTAATCGAAAAACACGAACTTCGGATAACAATCTAATATTGGCCAAACAGTACCCGAGGCGTAAAATAGACTGCTCCGGTGCCACATTTCTGACCCACGGCAAAAACAAACACTTCCTTGAGGAGACTCTCCCCTTTCCTACCCTGGGCGTTATGCATGCGGACCTTTGGTGTTCAAGTTCTTCGTTTGGGTTCGAATCAAAAAATACTGTTCTGAGGTATGACATGTGTTTTTCTGACCCCTTGAATTGGCTGGAAATTTGATAATCACAGAACTGTAGTGACCATCACACAAACTTTTCAAAAGAAGTGTGCACAGAAAATACCATAGAAAGAGCACCTCATGACTTTGATGCGTTTCTGTTTGTTGATTTGAGACAGGGATGTACAGTTGAGGTCAACATCAATCGGCCATTACAATTTTGTTTATATCATCATTAAGCGGCAAGCCATCCCAGGAAAAAAAAACGTGAAGGTGCTGTTGCAGTATGTACCGGATCCGAAAATGTGACGGAGATAGTTGCTTTTGAGAATGCGAGTGCGCTCGTAGGCGGTTGCGATGTGTTCAGTGGTCATCTGTGGATTGACACGAAGAATGAGACGCTTCCAAGTTCGATATCGGTCAGTCTGATTGAAGTTTTATCTTTTCTCCATGGTGGTCAACCCAGCTCGGTTAGACGTATCACTTCGCATATCGAACAACTTCGTCATCTCTTCCTGCTCGAATTCAATCCCATCATTTCGAGAACTCAGTGAGGGAGGGCTTGCCTGCAGCTAGTTGTATTGTAAGAGAGGCACGTAATTTCCTAACAAGTACGGTAATGCCAACCTTCTTTCCACTGCCTTTATCTAATCGTGTCGATAGTTGTATTTATACGATAAATTCGTCGATGTACCTCTGGTCATGTCAGCATGAGACAGAGAACCGAAGGGCTGCTTTCATAGTCCGCCGGCTGGCCGGCGTGCCACGAGGCAGTGCTAGGGAGGAAGAGGGCGGCAGACGGTTGGTCGAAGGCCCTTCGAGCGGCTGACCGACCGTCTGCCGTCCTCCTCCCACCTAGCGCTGCCTCGTGGTACGCCAGCCGGCCAGTCGGCGGACTATGAAAGCAGCCAAGACGGAGTATGAAGTTCTACATGCACTCTTTTCGCAACATCTTGCCAAGAACAGCAGAACTTAACTTACAAATGCTGATAGTTTTCGAAGATGGTCTAGTAACTGTGTGCTATTATTACTATGTGCTTTCTGACTAATATGGAATTCTTATTCTCTGTAGCGAGAAGGGCGGTGCTCTCCTGAAGAAAGACACGACACGTGCATACTACATATGGAGGATTCTATTTGCAGACGGTTCTAAGTTGAAACTTGAACTTTGTATAGTATTAGTTCTCCGAGTAGTTTAAGAGATCTATCTTCTTCTAATCATCTCTTCACGTGAAACTTATTAGCTCACATACATGCCCTCCTTTTAAAATTTCTGACGGGATTTCTAGGAAAAAAGTTGGAACCCCCAAGAAAAAGAATAGAATTAGGTTCACCAGGCTACCACTACTAGTGGAATGACACCAACTTCTAGCAGATGTTGCAGCAGATGATGTTTAAGAATGAGCGACCTTCGTTGCTACTGCACAGTAGAGAAGCTAGAAGGTATGTACATACAGTGCGTTTCCAAATGATACAGCCACCTCCGGTTTTCCCAAAAACCCACAGTATACGATGTTTCTGAAAAAGTGCCAAAGTGAAAAATGTGTCGAATCTGAGTTGCAATTCGCACATTATCACCAAAGTCCAGCTCGAAAACACAGGCATTCGTTTGGTCAATTTTTCAGTGAAGGCTGCTTTTCCAGCATCTCCAATATAGCCACTTCATGTTTTCGTGTCGTGTTTTACTTCATCGCAACGAAATTGCTTTGTTTATGTGATGTTCTTTATTTTGGGGCAATGGGAAGATAAAAATTGCTTTCGGAATCCAAGAAAGGTCAAACTCCCGCGAAAAAGGAGCAGGGCCTGCCGAATCGCAGAACCGCGCGAGGTTTTGGCCGATTTCACGCAGTTTTGGTTAATTTCATCAAGAATCCTGAAGCCTATAAAACTAGAAGTGTCGGACGTTCTTCGCTGCAGCCCGACAGAGGCAAGCGCAATATTTTAAGGGGAACGTCGAATTCCATTCCTGTATGGAAATCCGATCGCCTTTGAACCTCAATGTCTCAAAAACACTGTTTGGAAGGTGATCAGAAAGTCCAATTTTATCGTCAAGCGGAAAAAGCGCAAGGCGCCCTTTCTTGCAAAAAGACATCGACAAAATCGGGTGGCTTTCTCAAGACGGTGCAGCAGAACCGAGTGGTATAAGGTGTTCTCCATGTGTTGACCTTCTGACCTCCCTTCACTTGATGGTTTTCAAACCATAGGTCGCGTTTTGCGATGGAAAAAAGTTCAATTAAGATGGTCCAGACATGAACCGATTTTACTGGCACGACCTGAGGAAAGAAAAACTTCAGTTTTCTAGTGAGAAATCAAAGGGAGGAGGAGTCATGGTTCGAGCCACGAATCAGCGAGTAGGCGTATCCTTTTATGCTTTTCACCAAAAAAGATGAACTCGTCCTTTCATTGGATTGTTATGCGCCGTGCATTTCTCCCTTTCTGGCGTCAGAATCGGCACCGAAATCTTGTTTTTATGCAACATAACGCCCCAATTAGGTTCGCTCGGCACTTCTGCCCTGACAGGTGAACAACCCTGACTTGAATTTGAAGGACACTGTATGGGGCTTTATGGTGCGGAAGGTTTACGCCCAAAACAAGCAATTCCGAATCGTCAAGGAGTTGAAAAAAAAGCGATTTTGAAGTTCACCACAAGCTGATTGTAGTTTTTATTTGAGCCTAGACCACCGTATTTCCAAAGTGATTCGGAGGAATGGTGGACCAACTGTTTATTGACTTTGCAAATTTCTCTCCTTGTTGTATGTTTGTTGTTAAATAAGTTAATTTTGTTAGTGGCTGTATCATTTGGAAACGTTGGAGACGCGCCCTTTACTGGAAAATTGGCCAAAAAAAATGTTTGTGTTTTTGAGCTGGAATTTGGTGATAATGTGCGAATTGCAATTCAGCTTTGACACATTTTTTTACTTTGGCGCTTTTTTAGAAACATCGTATATTGCGAGTTTTCGGGAAAATCAGAGGTGGCTGTATCATTTGGAGACGAACTGTATATTCATCACGGTCTCGCTCAGTATCCGCTAGTGAAAATAGCCGGAAATCAGTTAAAATTGTTAAAGACATAGTTTGTGAAAATTCCATTTGTTGTACTCCCACTACTAGGAAAGGGGGCACAATAGCACATCAGAGGCAAAGGATACGAGAAAGCAACAATCCTGAACCTCTTAGCAGTTTTTAACTACGACTTCCGCAGTAGGAAGAGATTTCACAACGATCGAGGGTCTGCTTGCACAAGATTTCTGTCGCTGTAGATCAACGTGTATGAGCTGTAAGCGTGTAACGGCTGTGTTTACAACAAGCATTCTCTGTGCTGTAATTCACTTCAGGTCCATTATAATGCTTCAGTTGGGCTGTGAGCACTATCTCGCGGAACACGCTTCGAAGAGATTTCTTACGTTCAGTTAACGATGATCATGATTCTAGGACCTCCTTGAACAGATATGAGTTTCCAATCTCAGCTTCGCCCGCTTTGTTTGACCACCCTTCCATCGTACTCTCTCCCCATTTTTGCCTTTTCCCCACGCCCCGTTCAATGTGCGAAGCTTCCTTGAGTTTATGCATGATTTGCACATGCTTGCTCACTCTTTCGATTACGGGAGAGTTCCTTTCATATTATTTGTTGACCCGATTCTCACCTTTGCTCTCTTTTTCCCTGCCTCCTGGTATGAAATAGGACTAAGTGTGTTTCAAAAGTATGCGCACACCCAACATTTTGTTTTTTTGGGGATACCATTGCTCTCTGCAACCTGTGATCTTTACCATTGAATTTCTTGTGTGCTATAACCTTCGAACACTTTCTCTGAGAAAACATCGTAGCTGCTAACATAATTTTTTATTAAAGAAAAATTTTTCTTTGTTTCAAAAGTATGTGCACACTTAGCAAAAAACAAAAATATAACCGA